ATGTTAACGGTGGAATTTTTGAAAATTTATTATAATCTGTAAAAAATGTATCACTTGAACAATAAATATTAGAAATAGTACGTAGTATTTCTTTCTTGTCAGTAATTTTGCAACTGTACATTCAAGTCGCTCTATCTCGGAAACCGTGGGGAATAGGACATATATTCATATGAACATTTTTGCTTAAAATGACCGATACTATTACCTCCCAGAATATTGACCTTTCCTCCTAGAACACCCTGTATATATATGTATATGTATATACAGGGTGTCCCATAATTCGCGGATCACCCGCCATGTGCAGGTAGAGCACATGAAACCGAGAAGAAAAGTCCTTTACCATTTTGCGATTTTCGTAATAATTATTAAGAAATTAATTAAAAAAGATGGGCCAATCACAAGCGCGCGGCGAGAAGAGACTTCCTACTCAGGCGTTGCTTCCCTCTCTCTCTCTCACTCTCTCTTTCTCTTTCCCGCGCGCGCGTCATAGGAAGCAGAGTTGGGCAAAAATGTAATCTAATTAACAATCACAAATTTCAATTACAATGTAATTCTTAATGCAATTAATAATTACATTTTATAATCGTTAATTATTGCATACAATTACATTGTTTGCAATAATTAACAATGTAATTGTTTGCAATTATTAACGATTATCAAATGCAATTATTAATTGCATTAAGAATTACATTGTAATTGAAATTTGTAATTGTTAATTAGATTACATTTTTGCCCAACTCTGCTTCCTATGATATATTATCTTTAATCTGCCTTACCTTAACTTACCTTTATATCATTGATTTATACATGTTGTATAACACGACGCAACAAAATAATTTTTTGTAATATATATATATTACAGAAAATTATTTTGTTGCGTCGTGTTGTACAATATACAGGGTGGACCAGTAACTCTTGCCACCTCGAATATCTTCGAGTCTAGAACAGTTACGAAAAATTTTTTCCTACAACAGTTCTATAGTCTCAAAGGGGCCGTCGAGTAGTGGTAACACAGTTCGTCGGAAACATGCATTTTATTAATATTAATTTAACTACTTTTTTATAAATTTTTTATGTTTAATATTAATCGACAGTCTTGTAATTTACCTTCCTAACGTTTTTTGAGCTCCTCTATCGAATTACGCAAAAAAAAATAGTCATCCTATTTGAAAAAGTGGAGTTAACCTTGAGATCTCCGAAGCGCCGCCACCCCGACGAACTGTGTTACTACCACTCGATGGTCCCTTTGAAACTATAAAACTTTTGTAGGAAAAAATTTTTCGTAACTGTTTTAGAGTCGAAGATATTCGAGGTAGCAAGAGTTACTGGTCCACCCTGTATATAAAGGTAAGTTAAGGTGAGGCAGATTAAAGATAAAATATAATATATAAAATAATTGATAACTTACCTAAATGTCCACCACATGTCGAAACTCATTATACTTAGCCAGAACAAGCTTGCCAAATAACAAAAATAGCTAAAAAAAGCTAAAAATGAAATAAATAGCATGTTACTCATTGAGCTCGCATTAAATGCACATGGAAGACTTATAGTTACTACTATGTTTCTCTGTTTAAAAATATATTTAGTCTAACTATTGTATTTGCACTTAAATTTTATAGCAAAGATGATATATTTCATAAATATGTGCTGATAGTAAATTAAGTAAGATGTTGATTCAAGATCTAACTCTGCAAAAACTCAAAAACACAAAAAATATATTTATTCAGACTTTAGATTAGTTATATGTTGAAGTGTATCTAAAATTTATCATTCACTAAATTTCACATTAATTCTTGCATTTTTAATAAAAGATATATTCAAATTATCAAAAAGTAATACGCGAATATATACATTAATATGTTTGTAATATATATATGCTATAATAATTGTATAGTTATATGATTTAAATATACTATACCGACTGTAATACAGACTGTATAATGTACAGCATCCGCTTCACCAATTATTAGAATATTCACAATATAAATTGTATTTGTGACAAACAATGCACCGCTGTAATTGCGCAATAAGAAGCCGTGTACGTTTCGTAGCTCTGGCAATATGGAATATATCAGAAATATTGGCACCAAAAATGACATAGACATTATACGAAAACTTATATTTATGATATCATCGAGATCATTGACATCGTCTTCATCATCGTCAAAATCATACATGTCATCGTCTTCAATCGACGAAATGTCATTATCGGTTGTCGTAATAAAGATATTGTCACAAGTCTCTGAGCAGATAATCGCTTCGTACTTATCCCCATCCACGATGGCAAGACAATATGATGTCGATTTGACAAATATTTTATAATAAGGTAAATAGAGAGAACCATTGGCAAAGAACATGAAATCATACTGATAATCATCGGAAAACCGGTCTTTATTCTGGCACGGATCGTAGACGACAAGCTGAAACAATTCATTCACCGTCTTATTTTCGCTTTGCAACGAATCGTTCGTGTATCCGTACACGTTCGGGAAGAAGTATTTATTTCCTTCAGAGAGGCATTCATTATCAACCAGACGATCGCCGAGAGGACAGCATAGCTGAATGCAAGTAATATTGAAGCACATTTCGTATGAAACGACGATTTTTATATTGCTATCTTTACTGAAATTTCCTGAGAACTCGTACGATGTAGAATCATTTTTCTCTTCAATTCTCATCAAGTTTTCATAAATTTCCTGTGTCGTAAAATTTCTTTTATGGTTGCCATTTGTTGAATTCGTGCTAGATTCCATCCGAATTTGTTTATCACCTTCATGATTTTGTATGGAGTGCGTATCGAGTTTGAACTGTATCGAATCATCATCTTCGCGATCGTTGCTGGAAATGATGCGAGATTCATATTGCATATCTTCATATTGCGTATTATTGGTAGACTTTTTGTACAAATCATATGGCAGCGTTTTCATTTTGTTGCCATAGTTTGTCGTAGGATTCGCGTCTATCTCATATCGTACTGTCAAATTATTATTTTTCTCTTTATTGTCTGTGAAATTTTGCTGAGGATTCGATGACGAAGCGACGAGAAGACAAAGCGCACAATATCAAAACGTCAAATTTTTTCCACACATAGTTGCCTTTTTGATGTCAAATTTATACCTGGAAAATACGTATCTGATTTTTTTCTACGATGAATTTATATTTAAATGTCCAAAATCAATGATATGCGAACTGCGGCTTGAAAAATGTACTAATATTGTTAGTCTGCGATGGTTTGATGATGATAACTCATTTGTCCCAGTCCTCAAGATTAAAGGAGCTGCTGTCGCAGTATTTATTCTTGCGAATGCATGTCAGAAAGTAAATTGATGTCGACAGAACGGCACTTCGATGAAATGAGTTACGGAGGGCCAGGAACGGTGATGTTGTGATACAGGCGGTTGTTAATCTCTTGGAATGGTATTATTCTATTTCTTTCTAGAACGTGTAATTTAAAAAATGAATGACATGCGTGAATGCTTGATTTTTATATTCGATTTTAAGAGCTTTTAATATTTTTATAGTTTAACACACACACACACACGTATATACAATATATGTATAGTATATACAGTGGCGTGCAAAAATTTCCGGCCAGTGACATTTTGTAAATATAACAATTATAACTATAAATACTTTCACAAACATAAACAATATTCTTTCACTATATTATTTTGTTTCCTATATGTTATACTCGCACCTGATAATGGTTAAAAAGTCATTAGGTTTTTTTTAATAAATTATATAGAGTACGAAATGTCACTGGCCGGAAACTTTTGCACGCCACTGTATATATTTTGCCTCGTGACAATCAAAATTAGTCATTACATCTAAATCTTGAAGGAATATTTATTTTCTACTCTTATATGTATCGATTTCTTTAAATCCTCCACATATGTCCATTTCGATAAAATCACAATTTAGAAATTATTTTTGAGAATCTAAAGATATAGAGTAATAAACAAAGCTATCGAACTTTGTGTCACATAGGTTCATCTCATATTCTAAATTTTATAATCAAAAAATTTTGTTAAATTTATACGCGCGTACATTTCTTTTTGTATTAGTTGCATGAAAGAAATATAATTAAGTACAAATACATAAATATGTAATAAGAAGAAATTACCTTTTTTCTTTCTTTTTCGGCAAAATCTCCTAAGATTGATCTGGTTTTATTATAGCACTGTTATCGTTGACGATATTATGGTCGATTTTAGTTATTTTGCTAGATTCAATAAAACTACTACTGCATTCGGTTTTAACTTCTTTTCTCGAGTCGAAGGAGGAAAGAGAGCGCAAAAGAAACATGTGTCCGCATAAACGAGAAGATGCGATTACCGAGGATGACGAGTCATCGAGCTTCGGGAAACAGTCTACTAGTCTGCTAGTATGAAACTATACACATACAATAACTATTACATATACAAGATAAAATTCCATTAACGGGAGTGCCAGGCGACAAGAAATGATATACAAATCGGTGAATTTCTGAAAAAGGAAAAGATTACAGATAATGAGAAGAATTAAACAGGAAAGAGGAAAAAAACAAGGAAAGGAAGAAGACTAGATAGTTAGATGGATTATAAAGGTTATAAAAGACACAAAGATTCAAAACATTGAAAGAAAAAGATCAACAAATTACCAATTCACAATTTATAGTTTCAAATTTAATTCAAATTTAATTTCAAGGTTTTTATGGGTTTTAAGGTCTTTAGAGTTTTAATCTTTTAACAATTTAATGTTTTATGTTTTAAAGTTTAAAGTTTTAAAGTTTAAATTTTAGAATTTTAGAGTTTTTAAAGTTTGAAAGTTTGGAAGTTCTAAAGTTACAAGGTTTCAATGTTTTATAGTTAAAATTATAATGTTATAAACATTTAAATATCTAAATGTCTAATGAATATATAATGTATATGTATACCTATGAAACCATCCGAAGCCGCAAGGCAAGGATTAAATAAAATAAATAATAAATAAAAGTTCCATTAGCATGCTTCTACAGACAGTAGCTCAACCAAGCAGCGAAATGAAGTAAGATGTTGACGTGTTGACTATTATATTTTAGATACTTGAGGCTTAAATGAAGAACCATTATATTTTTAAGAATTTCACTAAAATAAAAAATATATTGATACGCAGCAACAAATAACATGAAATTTTTAATTATATTACTTTATAAACTTATATTATATTAGATTTTAGTTATTAATATATTTAGTAAAAAATTTTTTTTTGGAGACAATTGTAATCTATAACACATGTTTCGGAAAAATTTTATTTGTACCACTAACGAATTTATCAATCTTATTCGTTATCTTTAAACTACAAAAAAATACGTAATCAAAAGATAAAACTATTTTATATAGATCAAGGAGAGAGGGAGAAGGAGAGGGAGAGGGAGAGGAAGAGGGAGAGGGAGAGGGAGGAGAGAGAGAGAGAGGGAGAGAGAGTAAGTTACGATGTTTAAATATTTAATATTTAATATTGTCCAATTAAGAACTGTTTTGAAGAGCACATATTGGATAGCTTTATGCAAAATACGAATACATTGAAGACGAAATCATGCAACAGGCGTGAAAATGTTGTAGGTACGTGTTTATATATATATATATATAAATACTTAAAAATTTTGTTTCAAAAGCATTGAATCGAAGAAAACAACCATAAGAAAAAGTAAATACATAACAGATCTTTCGATCTTATTCATTATCTTTAATTGTAGGCTATACAATTAAAATATTTGATTGAATATAGGAGTTACATTTAATATAACATGAATTATCATTTGCTAATACTTGAATTGAATTCCATCGATGATGTTGCATGCCAATGTGAAAGTAAACAACGAAATACTACGTGAAAATTGATTGTACTACCGCCTATATCTCACATCGATAGCACATATTAATGTGAAGGAATTTGTATCATTTATTTTATTTAAAATCGCAAATGATAAAGATGAATCTCTTTCAAGTAACGCTGACACATTTACAATGTGTTTCACACACTTGACCTTAATTTGCTTCGTAGAAAAGATATGTAGAAAGGCTTGATTGCCTTGAAAAAAGTTCTTTGTGGTGACGTAGAACAAATAAGATTAAATTATATTTTATATTGAAAATTATATAATACATATTTTTGCAATTTTGATAACTATAGAAATATCAATATACACAATAATCGCAAATACAGTTGATTTAAACAACATATCTCTACTTTTATTCCATATTAGAAAAATAGATGCTATATAATAAAGATGCGATAACGTACATATGCACGTATATATATACATATATTTTCTTATGATGTATAATTACAAAATAAAGCATGTAGTTCAACGTACAGTAAACTTTTTATAAAAGTAAAACGATTTAATGTGATATTTTTCACTTTTGTTAGAGATTAAAATAGAATTGATAGATTGTTAAAATAACTGTGAAATTTATCTCTCTATATATTCTACGATGTATAATTTTTATTTATCTATACAAACAATATATAATATATTTTTATTTACTTAATATTTTTATTTTGTACTCCTTTTTTATTTTTTATGTTAAATGATCTTAAATAATTTTTTATTAAATAGCGCCTAACATGTTCTCGGTACACAATTGTGACTTTTCTTCTAGAAAGGAGATGTAAATATATCAACGTCTGAATATGTGAAAAATAAAAATGCTGAGTAAAAAATTTGAAGTTGCAATGATTTTACATTGTATTTTTTTAGGAAATATATAGATTATATTAATAATACCATTGAAATTGGATAATTACTATTTGCATAGTAACTTATTTGCATTATATTAAAAGCGTTAAATGTTTCAGCAGCTTTCAACGAGATAATTCATTTGCTTATTACTAGTTATCATTAATTACTACATATTGCAATATTATATACATAGAGTGCTAATCATTATTACACACAATGGTAATTACGCAATGTTAAAAAAATTATTTTTTCTACTTTTCTTTAACGTTTAAAATTTATATTTGTTAAAAATTAAGTATACTTTTACAATTTTTATTCTATGCTTTTATTGCGCAAAAATATTCGTGCGTTATGATATTTAATTAAGAATGCGAAACTATATTTTTAGCCAATTTAGTATCTTATTGTGCAGCAATTTATGTAAGCATAATGTATGTATGTATAAATATAAGGATAAAAAATGGGCTAATAAAAGCCAAGTGCAGTAAATCGACACAACAAAATTCGAATAGAAATATTTTTTAATGAACATTCGGTCTTTCCTTTGAACCATCTTCAGCAAATTAACAGACAAAAGCTCTTTTATGCCCTGTTATGCCCCTCTTTGATCTCAACCTTCATCCTGTAGTGAGTTTCCTACCGGTTCCAGCCGTTAAAAGAGAGCATAATGTCCATAGCATAAGACATTACAAAGCTGGAGCGAAATAATTAAAGATCAACAATAAAAAAGAAAATCTTTCCGAGCTATAAAAATATTTTTAGAAATAAATAAAGTACATACATTGTAAATACATTGTAAATAATTACATATTTTTTTTTAAAAACAATTATTTTTTTATACATAAGAAAAAATATTAGAAATATATATTAAATATTAGGAATAAGAATTATTTTAAATAATCGAAAAGATTCTGATATAAAAATACAAATTCGGATATAAAGAATTAGTAAGGGCTAATAAGGTAGTAAAAACTCTTCATATTTGAATTTGTATTTATCAGTTTTTATATTTTATTTTAAAATCATTTCTATTCCTAATATTTAATATTTATTCCTAATACTTTCTCTATTTTACGCAGGGTCTTATTTTCAAGCTTTCAAGAAATTTGTGTGAAATAATGTACTTAACGTTAAAATTATAAAGCGTCACCAAAACATGTCACGACCATGAAGTAGAGAGAAGGAGATCGAACTTGATAGCGCGCAAGTCGAAAAAATGGCCCTGATTCGTGACCCCTAATTGAGAGGGAGTCCGCTGAAGGGAATAGTTTCTCATGGATGGACGCCATATTTAAAGCTAACCTAAAGCAATGTCGTGGTCAGCTGTACATGTTGCATCGCTGCACATGTTTGTTG